GAAATCATAGCTCTTTTGCAAGTGTGTTACGCGAGTGTATAGAATCTTAAAGAGTTGCTAAAAATGGAAGCCTAAATCTTTTAGATTTTACTTTCCCCACGCCACACTGTGGTACAGTTATTATGACATTGTGAATTTGTTTGTACCATGGAGAAGGAAAAGAGAAAGACCCATATTGACTTTTGAGGATTGTCACAGAATCACTTTCGAAGTTGATTCGTCCGTCCAGGCAGAATCCGATTGAGATGACATTTTATATACATTATTTGTTGGTGATAATCGGTCGAAATGTAGATATGTCTCCCATATATATCTTCGTCCAAATTCAAATTTATTGTGCGCCAAATGTGTATTATTCGTTCAAATAAAATGTTTGTCGACACATTCGACCGAATTCAGCCTAGAAATTCACATTTGGTGAAAATCGGTTCAGATATAACTCTAGCTCCCATATATATGTTTCATCTGTTTTGGAGTTTAAGTATCTCACATTCGTAATATGCACCCCGCAACAATGATACTTGGTACCAGATATCAAATGCAGCTTAAAATACCTGTGCCAAGTTTTATCGAGATCGGTTTAGATTTGGATATTACTTTCATATATACATTCATTTGATTTTACGATTATTGTTAAACACACATGTAATATCAACTCATATAGATAGCTATTTTATTTGGTATGAGAGGTAAAAATACCTCCCGCAAATATGGTGAAAATCGATTCAGAATTGGATATACCTCCAATATACTAGTTCCGTATGAAATATTTTAGTAAGGTTCATAGTGGGTATGAGCAACTTCACATAAATTCCCAATACAGAATGTAATAAAAAAAAATTGCAACAAAGTCAAATGCCATATTTTGACATATTTTTTAAATTTTATTGAATGAAAGCAAAAGCGTCGGAAATAGGAACACATTATAGAATAAGTTTTGATTTGTTCAAATTGGTCACCTTTGGCACGAATTATGGCCTGCAAACGGCCAATGAAACCGTCACACGCTCCCCGAATGTTCCTCTGCGGTATTTTGGCCCATTCCCGCTTGCTTGAGGTGATCGACACTTTGATATTTTAAGTGTCAAAAATACTCCACACACAATAGTCCAACGGATTGGTATCCGGAGATTTTGGTGGCCATTGTGAGCTGGAAATAAAGCGAAGAACCTCATTTTGTAACCATTCTTGGGTGTTGTGTGCTGAGTGCGATGGTGCTTAGTCCTGTTGGAATGTCCAAGGTCTGCGTTCAAAATGTTTGCGTGCTTTAATACACCCTCGGCAATTACTCTGATGCCAGGGTCGATTAATACGAGCGGAGAGCTACCATCGGCTGTTATGGCGGCCCACACTATTACCATGGCCGGCGCTTATGTTCTGGTGGCCAACCGAAGGTGCACATTATCAGCTGACCTCTTTGGCAAGTAAACACGATCATTTTGTTTGTTTACAAACTGCTGGACAACGAATGTTTTCTCATCGGAGAAACCCAAATGCTGGAGTGCTCTAACGATAGCCCCTTGTAGTTTTCCACCCAAATAAAAAGAAATCACACTATCACGCTTGAATTCCATCACGAATAACTTTTGTCTAGAAAATTCCCACTAAAATGCTTTTGTACGCTTGTAAACAATATAATGAGCTGTCACTGGAATACTTTGGACAGCTGACGGACGAGTGGCTTAAAATTGACATCAGTCTAAAGTTGGTTGCAGTTTATTCATCTCACACTGTATAAACATATGTTGTTACGGGAGACCTACTAAATATGCATAATGGTGTAGGCTTTCATATAGTCGGAGCGACCGACCTTCGACCTTTCTTGACTGGTTCTGGATAAATTGTGTTTTTGAGCAATCTATTTTGGACTATTCTTATCTGCATCGTAGCTTCGCGACCAATTTTATTTAGTCATTGTATTTTTCTTTTTCTTTCAAATGTGAAAATGAACCAAATGAATTCCGCAAACAATTAAGCTTAATACATTTTAGGCTCGTATATGAAAATGACACATTCAGCAATATTTTTATTCTCTTCACAATAAAATGGATGGTATATTATTTTGTGATTTCTTTTGTAATTCTTCGAAATTTTCGTCAGACGCGCCATTGAAAATCTGCCCCGGTTCGCGTTGCCGGCCCGTACTTTTAGTTTAATGCCTATTTTTTAAAGCATAATAATTCGCAGATCTGACTTATGTAAGCAGCAACATTTTTTAGTAAGTAATGACTTCATACTAATTTCTAAATAGAAATAAATATTCGTGGCAAAAACTATAATATATGTTGACCTACCGTCGGTTTTAGATATTTTGAATAGCCTGATCTTATTTTTCAGTCATATGCTTTAATCTGAGTGTTAAAAGCCTATATGATATAGAACATCTGAAAACTCAGCTTAATGTTTTGTATTGTAAGTCTTAGCAATACTTTCCATTCAAATGAGCTGCAATTTGGAATTTCCATTTCCATTTTATATTAAGTTGTGTCCACCTCATAATTGAGGGCAAAATGTACACTTCACCATAGTATGTCAAATTGAAAAAAAAAAAATCATTATTGGCATATTTTCACGCTATTTTTTGCCAAGATACCATTCCGAAATTGTATGAATTGCCAAAAACCGTCAAGCCGTTCTTGAGTTGTAAGCATAGTAACTAACATAACTTTCTTTTATGTGGCAAATTTAATTCTTAATTTTATGATAAGCCAAAATGAAAACAAAATTATATACATTGTATAGAATTGACAAAAATAGAAAAACACATTGAAAAAAAGAAAAAAATCTTCAACTTATTCGCTAATTTTTTTACGGCAAATGTTTAAATGTCCTAACGAAATTTGGAAATAGAATGTACTATTATTTTGAAATTCGATTCCATTGAAAATTTTTTCTCGATTTTTTACCCAATTTTAGAATTTTTGCAATGTGATATTCTCTTTTTTTATTTTTGGATTTTTACTTTGGTGTGACTGCGTTAAATTATTTCGACGTCATCTATTCACTGAATACATATATTTATAAGAAAATTACCAAAATACGTCGAATATACAAATTTTCAAAATTGAACGCATACATTTTTATTATGTATATAATAATGTATAATTGTTAAATTATGAATATGAGCATTTGCAAAATTCAACAGTTTAAAAATTACGGTATGGTATGTAATTTGTATAGGTTTGGCAAAACTAATCTTATACATATCAAGCATGATGAAAAAATTTTCAATAATATTTCATTGACAAGATCCAACTTTCAAAAATAAAAATGCTTCCTTCGAAATATGCATACAGATCAGACTTTGTATCAAAAAAAAAAAAATTGTCCTAATTTGTACCAGGCGAGTTTATTGGCGGTTTGTGTTATTCTATTTTAATTATATTTATGCAAAATCAAAACACGAAAATAATTGTCCGAAAATGCCAGTACATCAGTTAATATCCCAATATTAATATATTTATATTCTACTGTGAAGGTCCCGGAAGGAGTAGAAATTGAATTAATTTTGATAAAAATTAAGGCTCCAAGGCTCCATTCGTTTTTGTTCCCACCATCCAGATCGTCCAACCAATTAACGAATCGACGGAATTCGTCCAAAAAGAAGTGGGGCTTAAAACCATTATTTCGATGAGGACAGATAAGGAAAACTCAACATCTGGAAAAATTAGTAAGTAAGATGTTCAAAATCAGTCACTCAATTTGTTATTTTAGTTTTTATGCAGTTCAGTCAGATCACATAAATTGTTTTTCCAAATTATGTTTCGTTATGACTTATTTTTCAATAACAGTTTATGTACGTTTTTGTCTAAAAATTTTTATTTTATATTTTTTTTGCCCTACAAGTTTTTGTATAATTTTTTTTACTCAAATAATGCATTTTAAAATTGAATGGACATTCACAATACGACAGCATGCTGAATTGTATAATTGCCGTCGTTTGTCAGCAACTAAAACCTAAATTTTTACGCTTTAATTAATATACATTATTGTTTAAAACTTGCACTGATAAAAGTCTGATTGACCGTATAAATTCACAACAAACACATCATATCACTTCCAAAGGAATTGAAATTGTAAACAAAACAAACACATGATTAATATGAGCAAAACAAAACATAAAAATATAATGAAATTTGCAATAAAATAAAATAGAAAAACTCCAACATAAAACAGAGAAAATTCCAAACAGCCGACCCACAGAGAAGACCATCGATAATGTCTTACTTTTTTGCAAACTCACATCAAAATGAGAGATTGCCCCAAAAGGGAACACATACGCAGCAGCAGTATCGCACCTTTCAAACCAAGGAAAAACACATTGAAAATCTCACACAAATACATTTGCAAAGTAAGAGCCGCACAAAACTCACACAAAAACATCGACTAAAGGGAAATACTGCTTGCATTTGGCCTATAAGAAAATTTCACCGCCCTAACCACCATGATGAATTTTCCTCATCTACGAAATATAACAACACAATACAACTCAAACACACATGCCCAACAACAACAGCAACCACCGCACACTAATACATCACTTACCACTCACACCCAATGGGTTTGAGTGAAATACGGTTGGGTCACACGAAATGAATTTGCTGCTTTAGATTTTTGGAGTGCATATAATGATGTATTACCAAATTGAGTCTTATTTCAAATTATGGCGAGAGCATCGAACATGTTTGATGTTGTTGGTTCTCAGAGAACTGTGTGTGCGCGCGTGTGAGTGTGTTTGCATGGGGGCCTAAAAAATGAACTGTGTGTTCATTTTCTTGTGTTGTGTTATGTTTTGAGTGGATTTCAGTGTTAGATTTTTGGCATGGGGAGGTTCCATTGGCGTTGTGTTCTCTCTATCTCCCGTTGTTGGGGTTCATTTGAAGTCCCATGAACTCTCTCACCCAATTTATCTGCTGTTAGGGGCCTTTTGTTGAATGGTTTTTATGATGTTTGCTTTAGTGTTCGCCTATAACGTGCCACATTTAAATCATTTTTATAGCTATACTATGAAATAAAATTTATTGTGCCATAAGTTTTGGTTCTTCTATAAAATATAAATAAATTCATTCCGTCCCGGTGTTAGACCAAAAGCCGTCGCTAAAACAAGTGTCGAGTTGGAGTTTTTATTGGATAACAAAGTGGAAATGCTTGTGATTTTTGTAAAATATTTTAAAGTTATTATCTAATTAAAAGCTGCTAAAGTGTTGTGTGTCTGATGGTGTGTTTTGTGCACATTTTTAAGAGTTTTCCCCAAAATGTGTGACCGACTCTTTGGCTCGATGACTCCCAAATGAAAAACAAGTTCTTTGTGGATTTTATACTCATTTAAGCTTTGTTCTGATATTCCGACTGCTCTTTTGAATGTTATTCCTCGCTCTTTTGTGTTTTCAGAGCATGAAAACAACGTGTATTTTAAGGGGGAGCTCTTTGGTTCGGTTGCAAAGACTGCTAAGGTGAGGGGGTGTTATTAGGGCTGGTGTTCCTGCTTCTGCTGCTGCTGCACTGCCTACTTCTGATATACGGACTACTGTTAAAACTCTGGTTGTGCGCTATCGCAATCATTGTCATCATCGACCAAGGAGGAATGGGCACCATGCTCAGAGCACAGCACCATCCATCCATCCAACCAACCAACCAACAAACATACACTCAATAACCCATAGACAGAGAGCCAAGCCAAACAACCACACAAAACAACCATCCATCCAGTCAGCCAGCCAGCCAGCAAGCAATACGTCGTCCGCTACAACAACCAACAACACAACATTCTTCAGTCATAACACAACCAACAGTAAAACGTTGGATTATTCGTTCGATGGCAACGGTTTGGTTAACAGGCGCGCGCTTTCTTTTATTACAAAATTTTATCGCCAATTATTTTATGGTTATTTGAACAATTCTGGGGCGCTAAACTCTACGTCAAAACAAAAGTGTTAAGAATAGAAAAAAAAAAAAAACAAAAAATCTAAAACAGTCTCATTTTGAAAATAATGCCGTCGTCGTTTTAACTTAACAACTCTCCCCTTTGACAAGACTAATAAAGAACCAACAACTAGTGGCTCGTTCGCTCGTGTGCTCCACTCATAATCAGTGAGTTTTTCCGCCCGTCCTAACGTTTGTTTGGTATTTCGTTTTGACTTCTGGTCGTTGTCGTCATCATCGTCGTAGTCGGGGTACTGAGCGCCTTGTGCTGCTGCCGTAGTCGTTGTCGTCGTTCGCTGCTATTCACGTTGGGCGCTATCATCATCACCCAAATGCACCGCGCACTTGAAAGAAAATCTTTATGATTATTTTGGACATTCAGTCAGTTTGTCTACGACGGTCGTAATGAGAATACATCACTTAATCAGCAATAGCAACAAAATACAAAGACAACTTGTACAACAACTACAAGTCGTACTACCACTGCTACTACCAACACTACAACTAAAACTAATCGTATCACAAAAATAATAATAACAATAAAAACAAATAATAATCGTAAAAATATACAATAAAAGTAATTATTATTGTTATGATTACAACAACTAAACACAAAATAAAATAATACAACAATAAAAACGGAACGAAACAAAACAAAACGAAAGAAGCGGCCAACCAACAAAAAACAGCAACACACTATTGTTATTATAATGATAATGTTTATTGTTGCTACAAGTGACACAAAAATAATAAATTTCAAATTTCAATAAATTATTTCGTTCTTTCGCTATAAAATCAAAAACAAAAAAACCAATGCCAAGCAACAAAAAAATATTAACAAAATAAAAAGTGAAAGAGTAAATGACAAAACATTTTTCTGTGAAATGAAATGAATCTATAAAATAATAATAATAATAATAAAGTGCAAATTTAAACTGGAATTCAAGTATACGATTTTTGAAATAATAAAAATAATAAAGCTATTTAAGACATATATTTAAAAAAAAAATACAAATATTTAAGACATAAATGTAGAAAATACAAATAATTCAAATAAATAAGACAGAATTCAAATAAAGTGCAATACAGTTTATAAAAAATAAATAAAGAAAAATATTTTAATAAAAGTAAATCCCAATTACGAAAATCGAAGCAACAACTCTCCACTTAAATTTTCCTTCCAACCATCTACACATATTTAAACCGCCAAAATTCTTACCGCCAACAGTATGAATTCATATTTTGAACAAGCTTCTGGCTTTTACGGCCATCCACATCAGGCCACTGGCATGTCCATGGGTACCGCTGGCCATCATGATCAGTCGGCCACCGCCGCAGCAGCGGCCTACAGAGGTTTCCCCCTATCGCTGGGCATGACACCCTACACCAATCATCATCTGCAACGTTCTACCCAAGATTCCCCCTACGATGCCAGTATTACCGCCGCCTGTAACAAAATCTACGGTGATGGCAATGCCTACAAACAAGATTGCCTCAACATCAAATCGGATACAATAAACGGCTACAAAGACATATGGAATACCACAGCGAACGGGGGTGGAGCCGGTGGTGGCGGCGGTACTGGTGGTGGTGGTGGCGGTTCAGCGGGCTCGGCGAACGGTGCAAATAATACCGCCAATGGTGGACAAAATACAAGTGGCGGTGGTGGAGCTGGTGGAGGCGGTGGTATGCCCGTCAGACCCTCGGCCTGTACACCGGACTCACGGGTGGGCGGCTATTTGGACACATCGGGCGGTAGTCCGGTAAGCCATCGCGGCGGTAGTGCCGGTGTTGTGGGCGGCGCCGGTACCGGGGTTGGGCAAAGTGGTCAGAGTGCTAATGTCGGTGGTGCTGGCGGTGTAGGCGGGGCAACGGCTTGGAATGCGAATTGTACAATTTCAGGAGCCGCCGCCGCACAAACAGCAAGTAGTTTACACCAGGCCAGCAATCACACATTCTATCCCTGGATGGCTATCGCAGGTGAGTTGAAAAAATATTTATTTTCTCAATACTTAAAATAAGTACAAAAAATAGTACGAATTCTGGGCTTTGAAAAAATGCATTAAAATTCAATTAAAACATTTAATTCACCAAGCTCACAAGGTTTCCAGATACAAGGAGATCAGGAATCGAACCCTGAATCAAATTCTACCAAAAAAAAATTTTTTTCATAATTTAGTAGGGGTAAAAAAAATAATAATAATTGCGGTGAATACTTAAAAGCAGTATATGTTATTATGCACCCTTCTCGAATGTATTATTGGTCTTTTCTTAGAAAGTTATGAATGTGCGCCTGTATAAAATAAGGCTGGTATTAAGCCTGGTTTACCCAATTGAACAAAGTGTATATTTTACTAATTAATTGCATCAAGTCGGTAATCTAATTTGAAATAGTTCTTAACGTTTTATACAACTTCAAAATTCTCTCAAAAAACTTCGCAATACTCATTTTGAAAGGCATTTTTATATCTATGCTTTTTTAAAGCTAAATAACAAAATATAAAATGTATTAGTTACTCTGAACATGATGAACAATCTTTCCCATATGATATAAAAAAATCAGTCAGGCAACAAACACCATAGTTAAAACAAATAAATTTAAAATATCCAAAGTACAATCTGTATGTCTAAAAAATTAATCTAGAAACATCTTAAAAAACTAATATCAAAAAGTACTTGGAAAAAAGGTCGAAAACTGAATTTCAATTTCAACAACAAATATATTTATATTCCTAAAGTCTTATAAAACATAAACCCAATTTTTAAATAAATTTGATTGAACGCCGTTATAATGATCACTGCAGAATTAAAATTCAATTTTTTTTAAATATTCTTAAAATGTTAGAAAATAAATATATATTCACAATATCTATTGAAAATTAATATGAAATAGACCTTGATGTTTTGAAAATTTTTCCATTTTTTATTGAATTAAATTTAATGAATTCTTCACAAATATTTTTTTGATATTGTGATTAGGAGATAAATATACTCTATTAGATGCCTAATAACAAGTATTACGTTAAAATTTTTCATATTTCTATGTAAAATAAGTGAACAATAAGCGAATATGGACCGCGAGTGATAGAAATATGCTTGTAAAACTAAAATAATTAACTTCAACGTTCTTCCCAAATTTACAGTTTTTCCACTTAAAGAATCAGATCACTTGAACTCGGAATAAATATGAATGTGAGCAGTGTTTATCTGTTGTCTGTTGGTGGAGAAGTGTATTACTTAAGAAAAAGCAAACTCAAAAAATCTATATAACAAATCCTAAAACTATTTCCCATTGAAGAATAAAACATGTTTTAAAACATAGTTTGTATTGGAAAATTAATTCAAAATACCAAGTGGCAAGAATACTCCTCTATTGGTCTAAAAATTGAATTTGTAAAAAAGGACCCGCCTAATCCAGTACATTTTCATTGTTATTTAACATAATACATTTTTATGAGTCACAAGAATCTCTGTTCTGTAAAAAATAAATACAAAAAATCCGTAAAAAAATAATACAAAAAACAATACATTTCTAAAAATTTAGAAAGGTTTTTATTTGTTAGTATTTACATAACCATTATTCTCTAAATTGTTCTCATTATATATTGTATTGCTTATGACAAGCAGTAAATTTCGAATTTTCCCAAAAAAAAAAGTTAATTAAAGATGTGTGTATAGAATGTAGTCTTGTAAGATGCGTCAAAAGGAATTTCCAATCTGGTGTAATTCTGAAACAAACAGTAAAATCCAGTTCCAATTGAGAGGATTCTTCCTAATTTTTGGCCGTTTTCGTTCGCATTTGTTTTGTTACAAAAGTCAAAAATGCAAGAGAAGAAAATCGCTCGTTTGCTTTTCTTTGACAGAAGAAACATTCGCTACAAAAACCATAATCTTACAAAAACTGATATAATTTTTTCGAAATTAAAACAACATATGGTTTATAAATGTCCATTATATCCTTAAAGTATTGTCTTGTGTCAATCTTAAAACTCGAAACTTAGTCTAGAATATATTTCATGTTTAGTTGAACTCAGAACATTTGAGCCTTCACTACACAAAATACGAAATGCTGCCATAGATGGTTTGTCAGATATTGTGACGTATATAATATACTTTTCCGACATATCATACATACGTCGAAAAATTCGTAAACCTATGCATATAATAAGTATTTTAGGCAAAAATACGGTGATAAAATATTTGTCAACCTTATTATAATTTTTAATGACCGCATGTTAGCCATCTGAGAAATCATTTCACTCTTTTCATAAATAGCAGCCTTCTGGCAATAAAAGGACAGAGCCAAATTAGTTTGGTTGCAGATTTTGAAGCTAGAACGAGAGACAATGCAGTTTTTCTTTATAAGAAACACAACGGTCACAAGCTTGGCTACTTTGCAACAAAAAACACAATTCCTGTTCTATAAAAATTTTAATAAAAACAATAAATGTCAATTGAAAAATGTTTAAAGAAAATATTTTTAATTCATTTTTTATTTAATTTTAAACTTCGGATGTAACTTAGCTAAATCTAGAAAATGTACACGAGGATAGTATTATCATTCTGATCATCGAGGTTTCAATAATACAACCTTAACGTTTATCAGCCAACTTTGGTGCGTTTTATGTGGGATATTACAATATCTTAGAGGAATATATCGTTTTATACTTCTTTTACGTTTTGTACAGGTCGTTTTATATATAATGTTGTCATTTTATACTTTTTCTAGGTTTTGTACAAGTATATGACGTTTACAACTTTGCGACAGTCGAAAACCTAAAAAACTGTCAACCTGGCCATCTAGGATTGTCTCACATTCGTTTTAAAGTGGCCTGCAGAAAATTAGGACTATTAGATCCAACATAAAATGTGTGGAACTCTCCAATAAATTTTAAGTTATAAAGTTAATGTTGTCTTTGGGTATATTTAAAAATCTAAAGACCTATTTATAAGGTGGTGTTATTTTTTGGCCATTTTCAGATTTTTTTCTTTCAGAAAAATGTCCATATTCATTGAAAAAAAAATAATAAAATTAAAAAAATTTTCTATATTTGACATTTACCTAAAACTTTTGTTACATCTAATATGATCTTAATACAATAGAACGTTTCTTGGATAGGGTTAAGAAATTAAGCGAACAAAATTGACAGGTTATTGACGGGAGCCTAAATGCAAACATGGATAAAATCCATAAAAATATTTTAGTGTTTGATTGTTTTCTAATTTTGATACTTTTGAACATCATTCTCTCTATCCTAGACAATTCTGTTAGCCATGTTGATACTATTCTAATTTTTAATCCTCATTTGATTTTTCAACGAATTTTAAGTTCCACGTCTCCAGTTCCACGTATTCCAGTAACATTTTTTGTAATTCCCTTTTCAATGGCTCCACTTTTTTTTCCACTCAAGTTTTTTTTTTATCTCAAAACAAGCACGGTGCGTCGTGATATGAAATCAGCTGCAGTAATCATTCGTCATTTTATGCACTTGTTATTATTATGTGATTGAATTCAATACACTTTCTGAATGTTGGCCAATTTGCAGTTGTTTTTGTTTATATTTTTGTTGTTTTCTTCATCTGCTTCTGCTGACGACTGACTGCCACACATAACCCCGCAGTGATATAATAACAGTTTCAGTTTCACGGCATATATGATTACGTTTGCTTGGGGTTATTCTTTGGGTTATTGTATTTTAACCGGTATTTGAACGTCTCTCTCGATGCAGATACAATTTGAAATCAATTATTTCCCCATTCGATTTGATTTAATAGTGGCATTTTATTATAATGATATTTGGTTTTACTTGGAATTTTTCACTTTTTTAAAATGATAAGAAGAGTAGAATATAAATTACAAATAATAACTTTATTTTTCACACAAAACAGCTTCAATAAATAAACACACATTTTTTTTTTGTTAAAATATGAGACAAAAATAACCTTTCATGCAAACCGTGACAATAAATGTTAATTGCACAATTTGTCTCATAATTTGTCACCTTTGGAGTTTAGCTTTGCACCAGTAAAGCAAACAGTGAAAAAAAAAATCAAAAATTATGACTTCCAGCATCATAGAGGCTACCCGGCTAGCTGCCATCCAACCAGGCGGCACTGGATAGATTCATGTTGCCTTTCACAGTCGTAATGCTGGAAAAGGATAGGAAAAAAATGAAAACCTTTTACTGAGCAAGAGAAGAAAAAAGCGCAACACAACGTGTAAAAACGGTGTGAAACAATCCTTTTAATTTGAGAACATCAACAAACCGTTTAAAAAATAAATTTTTTCGCACTCCATGAAATTTTAGTTTTTGGTCCTTTGCTTGTGGTGGGTCTTTATTTGCCATCGCTGAAACAACAAAACAGGCTAGCTACCTTTCTTCTAGAGAGCAACCTAATAAAGCATTTTTTTGTTACCAACAATTGCAACAGCATCAACATCTGTACAAAACAACCAGGCAGGCGACCAGCTAGCGCGAATGTGCCATAACTGGTAGAGTTAATACGTGTTAGAGTTTAGTAACCGGGCATGTCGGCTGACAACGCCAACGCCACATGTGTCTCTGCATAGTTCGTTCAAAAGCCCTTTACTAAATACAGAGCTCACCGCGGTACACAATTATGTAATTATTACATTTACAACACAGCCAACAACAATATTACAAACTCCTCAACTACTGCATTAGAAGACTCAGCAAGAGTTTGATGGTTTCTTTTTTGAAAAAGAAAATTGAAGAAATCCAATAACCAAGGCAGAGGATAACTCATAACCAGTTCATGCAATCCGAAACTCTTTGAAATCGTTGTGCAAACACACCCACACCATGTGGCTGTTTCATATTGCGGACATTACAAGAACAAAGATTTTCTAAAGATAGGCCACCTAATAATGAAATTAAATTCTTAAGATTGCTTTCAGAATTATTTCTATATTTTCCCACAATGTTTTTTTTTAGTTCTTGACATTGTGTGCCGTTAGT